TTGAATTACAAATATATTGTGTGAGTTTATTATTGTTGTTCTCCAGAAGACAGCATATGCTTGAATAAAATCCAAGCAAATCCCCTGTGATATGGTCCATCAATCAGCACTAATGAAAAATTCATAAAGAGCTGCTCGACAAAAGATGGCTTCGTTTTATTCGAATTCATCCGGTGAATCGTATATGCTAAGCCAGACACTTGTTGATAACAATAAGGTATACGATTCTTCGATTTCGTTGTCCTATCCAAATATACTGTCCGACTAGTTTGGTAATATCATCTCCTCTGTAATATTCAATTGCAGGGGGGGGGGGACCAGACATGGACAACACTAATATCTTCTTGTGATTATTAATATTCTTCACAAATTCCTAATGACAATTTAAAAGGACCTACTTGATATTAACAGCATTTTAGAAATGTCTATAGAATTATTAATTCGTAGAGAGAACTTACCGTTTTTTCTGAAGGGGTGACTTTAATTCGATTTACTTTCCGGTTTTTGGAGTTGGTTGCTTGAATGCAACAGTGGGAGCTATTCGGAAACTCCTCCTCTGATGTTCGAGCACAAGCTGTTCGGCGAACCAGTCGAGTTTCTCGAGATTGCTCTGCTCTCCGATTCTCTTGCCGCTAAATAGTACAGACTCGACGTTCTTCTGTTTCAGCATTTCATCCGCTTTTCCAATTAGCGTTTTTATGTCGCTCGAACTTGGGTCCGAGTCAACATTTGCCCCGCACCTGCCTAAGCTGGATCCATTTGCCTGAAAAATTAATGGATACTGTAAAAACATGTATGAATACGAGACATATAACCGTTTCGGAAAAGGGATATTCCTTAATAAGTCAAACTGCAAATGATTGGTGTTATTGAGAACTATTATTATGCTAACAAGAAAACAATTACGAACAAATTTAATTAAATCGTCCTCCATATATATTTCAAAAGTTATCGAATTCCGTTAACTAATTATCATGTGCTTCAACAGTGGTTTAACTACTTTTAGTCGATTCAAATCACAAATCATTGCCTTGAGAACAAAAACTAAATAAAAATAAAATTAAATCACAATAATGCTAATTAACATGAATTCTAAAAGACAAAATTTATATATGATGAATATAGGGAAAAAATAAGAACCCCACAGTTTGATCTGTGCTCAAGAAAATTGTAAGAGATACACAAGAATGGCACAAAATCATCATGTTCAAATCTTGATTGTTATGGAAACCTGCCTTTTGTTGTTTGAGTCAGACTCTCCACTATAAGCATCATATCTCCCACTTTTAGTACATGTAATAAATTTCTTACGACAAAACCACCCCCCACCCCCACCCCCACCCCCACCCCCCACCAGGTGAAAAATGCCAAAAAAATGACAATATTGCTAGCTGTGTACAGTTTTTTTTACCATTTTTTCCTTCTCAATAAATATTCAAATACTAGTAATTTAACAGAAAAAATTACAGCAGGGCTATAATAAATCAAGAATCCATTTAAAGCTAGTTTTGGTTAATTGATGTGAAAATTAAATTTAACAGTAGCCAGTGAAACATGTGACTTACTGTAAAAATTGGAGAACAAAAAAAGTTAATAATGGCAGCACTGTAAAAAAGAAAAGATTACAAAAAGAAAATAATAAATTGCATTTAATAAGTTGATTCTGCAATTAATGTTTTTTGACAATACCTGAATACGGACGTAATTACTGCTACGGTTCTGGCCGAAGGCCATGGCCACCGCGTGGTCGACCAGTTCCGATGAGCTCTCGCCGGAGATCCGAGCCCAATCCTGGGGTTGCCATTTCTTCACCTGCTCGTAGTCGAAGCTTCCTTCCAGTAGCTGCCCGCCGGCGCCGATTGAAAGTACCATAATATCCTCGACTCCTCTCACGAAGGGAAACTCCTGCTTGTTGTGCAGCACGTGCGTTATCGCGGCCGCGGTCGGGTTGTTCATCGCTAACCCGCCGTCCACCCCCACGCACCGGGTCGACCCGTCGACCGATTTCATGCTGATCGGGTCGAAAACGCCCGGTTCGGCTGCGGTTGCCAAGCAAACCTCCCAGAGATTGAAATCGTAGCTGTCGGTTTCCAAGGCGTCTGCCCTAGAGAACAGAAACGGCGCCGTACTGGACAAATCGTAGCACGGGATCAGAACCGGTTTCAGCGTGTTTTTTAGGGTTAGGCTGCGCCCGGTCCTCCCATCCTTGAACGCCTCCTTCATCGACTTCTCCAAGCCGGCCGTGGCGGCGGCGGCTGCGCCGCCGCCGCCGCCGGTTTTTCCGAAAACACGCTTGAAGAAACCGACCTTCGGACTCCGCGCCTTCGCGGAACGGTAGAACTTCTTCCCCTCCGCCGCGAGGAACTTCCACGTGTCGTCGGCGTGAAAAATCGGGCGGTTGCGATCGTCGGCGGCGAAGAGCATCGCCGTAAAAATTCCACCCACGCCGGTGCCGGCCGCCACGTCGAAGTAATCGGCTACTCTGGCGTCGGGATCCCCCGACTTGCTCTTCAGCGCCGTCTCCAAATACGACAGCGCCTTGCCGGATAAGATGCTCCTCATCCCCCCGCCGCCGTCTATGCTCAGAACACAGATTTTCCCCCTCTGATTCTTCATCGCCTGAGCGGCGCCGCCATCGTCGGCGGCGGCGTAAATCGCCGGAGAAATCTGCTTCGGGACCCAAAGCTTCTGATCATCGTAGCCGAACCAAAACTTGCTCTCCAAAATTGAGAAAATCTCATAGCTCAATTTATCCGTATCTATACTCGGCTCGTGCATTTCAACCGCCCTGGGGCTAATACAACTATCGCCGTGAACATCAACACGCGCCATTTCTGAAATTGAAATAATACTTACTTCACATAATCCTCGAAATTATCTCTCTGCAAATTTCCAATCACCACCACGCACATAAAGAAGAAGAGGGGTATGGCGAAGAAGAGAGAGAAAGAAGAGAGAGAAAGAGGAGAGAGAGAGAGGCAAACAACAACGCAACAGATTTTGCAGAGCATGTCTGTTTTCATTTTGGCTTTTATAAAAGGGTTTTTCAATTGACAAAATAAAATAAAATATAATATAATAAATAAATAAATAAATTGCAATAAAAAGAAAAACAAAATGGACAAAGAAATCCTAAACAAAATCTGATTTTTGTTTTATTGTTTCTCTCAAAAGATGAATTTGACTTTCACTTTCTTTCTTTTGTTATCTTAAGTTCTTATTAACATTTGCTTTATTTTTACTGTCTTTTACTTTTTTACAGTACTGGTAAAAAGACTTAAGAATAAACATTTTTTTCTAAATTACAACCCTCGTTTAACTGAAGTAAGGTCAAATTACAAAAAAAACTCATCTTATTTGCATAATTACAGAAACCCCATCTACTATGTATTGTCTTACGAAAAAATCCTTCTAGTTTGTAAATTTAGAGATATTCATTTGGTGAAATCGTACTCCAATTTTTCATACCGTTTATCGTACAGTTCGGTAAATAACTGAATTATAGAAATTTTATTAAAAATATTTAAAATTTGTTTTTGTTTTTTTAATTTTTTATTTAATTTTAGTTTAAATACTAATATTTCATATAAAAACACACACACACATATATATATATAAATAAATAAATAAATGAATATCGAACCGATTTACCGGTTCAGTAATCGGCATGTACTGAATTTTCGTTCGGTTCAGTTCGGTCGGTTTACCAACCGGATGAACACCCCTATGTAAATTTGACATCATTAAGGGAATACAAAGTTGATGGGTGGCTGTAATCACACAAGCAAGATGAGTTTTTTCGTAATTTAACCTTACCTTAGGGGTGACCGTGATTTGCCCTTTTTTTATATTTATGTTACCGTTTTTAACTAGAACGGAAGGAGGTGAGATGCAATTCAGCACGGTAGATAATGTCAATATGAGCGGAAGTGAAAAGGCATGGAGGGTCTGTGGCAAATAGCACTAGTCAAGCGCTGCGGTCCCCGAGTAGAGACGGATGGAACGGGACTCGGGCGGATGTTCGGGAGGGCAAGCGGTCGCAAGGCCAGGGGCCCAGGGGCCTGAGCTACGGGAAGCTTCGCAGGGTCATCGTATTATAAAATATAAAAAAGAGACACGTGGCAGCAGAAGACCCACCTCGGTGTTTTGTCACCGGGTGTAGCATCGAACAAATCGGTTTGTGGGGGCAGTTGTGGTGAAAATGACTTGCAAAACGTGGCTAAGAGTTAGAACCTGGGTCAAAGGCAACGGAACGTTGACCATTCGTTGCCGTCCAGTGGTCCAGGTCAATAGACTATCTTATGGTAAGCATGTATTTCATTTTATATTGCTCAAAAATCTTTAATCTTTTTAAATTGCAAAAAATAAAATTATTTACTTTTATATTTATATATGGTTGTGTGTGTCAATTTTTAATTCAGTTACGAACATAATGTGTTAGTTACAACTTACAAAATAAGTGAGTTTAGAGATATACCTCCTCCTCATCTACGATCGTTACCGGACATAAAATACATCTATCAGTGCGTTGAGGTGACGCCATCCGTACATCAGAAACGTCCATCGCTATCGAGAAGTCTGGACATCGATTTTAGTATTGTCACATGTGACATTTTACATAGCCGACTATAGTCGATCAAGAAATCAACTATATTTTTTGTAGTCCATTTATTGATTTAGGTCTAATACACGCTTTAATATTCTAATCAACTATAGTCGAATCAACCACGCAAACAACGTAGTCGATTTACGTCCAGTTTAATTCAAAATTTTGCGGAAACACATAACGTAAACTAGAATTTCTCTAAAAAACATACATAAGAAGAGAGTTTCCACTAATTATTTTTAAAAAGTGGACCTAACTCAATGCAATTTAAAAACCAAGAGTTTTCACTAATTTTCCCTAAAAAAATGTAGCATAAGAATATTTATCCAAGACAGTTCAGTTTATTGATTCTAATTTCATTAAATTAATTATATGAATTTTGTGGCAAGTATATTATTTTGGAAAGGGTAAATTATAAAAACTCCCTGAATTTAGGCTAAATAATAAAAAAAAAACACTCTTATCTATTCGTAATTACCAAAAACCCATTGAGGTTTGTTTAAGTCAAACATCAACCCTTTACAATGTGATTTTTTCACGGATTTTTTTCCAGGGAATAGACTTTACACAATTTTAGATATTTTCTTTTATTTCTCACCTATTTAACAGAAGGTATAATAGACCGACACATTTTCTAGTAAAAAAATTGATCAACAGTTAATCAAAGGGGGAATTTGGTTATTACGGATAGGTGGGGTGTTTTTCATTATTTAGCCTAAGTTCAGGGGATTTTTTGTAATTTACCCTTTTGGAAAACATCTGCTGGAGTTGGAATATAACCGTAGTTTGTTAGATTTGTTTAGGCGGGATATTAAACTTCAAATATTTTATATATAAATAAATATATATATTCAATTATATATATATTCAACTGTACACAAAACGGCATTTCACACAGAAACACCTAGAACGCGTGAAAATGGCGGAGGAAAACCCCGCGAAAGAGAGCTGCATCCGAATTGCAGAAGAGCTGCCGCAGACCACCGTAGACTTCATCAGCCAGGAGAGTTGGGACAGTTACTTCACCTCAAAAGGCACCGACGATTTCTGCGAGTGGTACGCCGACTGGCCCCAATTCCGGACCTTACTCAAAAACCATCTCTCGTTTCCGCCGCCGGCGGCGCCGCCGGAGGATATGAGTATTTTGCTGCCGGCGTGCGGGGCCTCGAGGCTGTCGGAGCATCTCTACGATGAAGGGTTTAGGCATATAACGAATGTGGATTTCTCGAAGGTGGTGATTGAGGCCATGATGAAGAGGAATATCAGAGTACGGCCGGAGATGACGTGGCGCGCGATGGATATGCTTAATACTAAGGTAATTTTTCCTTTCTCCATATTCGCTAGTTTCTAACCCTTGCAATTGCACAGAGGGATTAATTTCCTAATAATCAAATTAATTGTTAAAATTGTCAGTTGATTGTAATTAGGAAATCGCCCAAACGAGTTTGTTCAATTATGGAAACTGAGATTGTGGTTTTATGATGTGGAATTTTGACTCTGGGTCAGAGAATATCAATAATTTCAAATTGTAGTAATGATAGGTTTGAATCAAATCTTCGTGTTCTCTTTTGGGAATTGAAGGAGGGAATTGATGTCCTGAAATGTGTTCGACCTTTTGTCTGAAAGAGCATGTTTCAAATGATTAATCGGATCAATTTTTTTAGTCAATTAGCATGTTCTGTGATTAGTAATTTTTCCGCACTCTACACTTTTGGCATGTTCTGTGATTGAATTTACCAACAATGTAATGTGATGGATAGTTGCACTGCTATATGTAGATACAATCTAACTGATTCGCATGCACTCAGTTACGCTATCGTTTGTTTTATTTATTTCATCACAATTCTTTATGCCGCTGGCATGGCAGAGTTGGTCATGAATAATTTACTGACTTACTTTCATTTGACTCAGCTCTTGCATCTAGCTGCTAGTCGTAAACAACTACTCTCAGCATCATGAACTTCTCTTATCCTAGTTTTTGGAATTCTTTTCTCTATCTATTTCCTTTTTCTAATGATCTGTAACTGATTCAGTTTCCAAGTGGGGCCTTTGATGCCATCGTCGATAAGGGAGGATTGGATATTCTGATGGATTCCGAGCATGGCCCCAGATCAGGACTATCAACTTATATATCCGAGGTTTATGATAGCCTTGTATGATAATGACACAATTTTGATCTCGTTACTTGTTATGGTCCAAAAGTTTGACTTGTTAACAGGTTAAAACAATGTTAAAAGCTGGAGGACGATTTATTTGTCTCACCTTGGCAGAACCTCTTGTGCGAGGTACTGTTTCACATTATTTTGGTGAACGTGAAGATAGGAGTTGGATTTTAATAGTATATCATTTCTCTCTGCACTAAATTATTTCAATCATATGACTCTCTCAGATCTACTTTTTTCAAAGTTCCGATTTGGGTGGAAGATCAATCTTTATACCATTTCCGACGAAGCATCTCCTGGAACCACCACACAACAGACTTTTATGTTTGTTGCAGAGAAATCTATTTTCACTGTTGTGTCTCGGATAGTACCATTCATGGATGCATCTTTTATGGAATCTCAGGATAAGGATGATCAGGTGAAAGCAGTTAACAGTGTCCTTTTGTCCATGTAGCAGCCCCCCCCCCCCCCCCCCCCCCCCAGAGGAGAAGGAAATAACTTGAGCATTTTAGGAAAAAAACAATGCACTTTGGTCAAGATTCCGAACAATCTGATGACAGTACCGTTTGCTAGCTCATATGAACATTTATTTGGATTACTACAAATCTTGAGAAATACATTTACTTTTTGACACATTATAGGTTGATAAGCTACTTGAAGCACTTAAAAGAGAAAATACCGTCCGCGAAGAGTACTCCAAGAGCACAGATAAATGGTACTCACTTGAAGAGCTGGAGCAAGGGGTGAAAGGAAACATTGAAGAGATTGAATCTGGTCGTGTTATAAAGCTTTTTATAGGTGAAACTGGAATATCGCGTTTCTTCTATACTTGTGTCCTTCTTGATGCTCCTCCAGAGACTGGACCTTTCTCAAAACAATTTCTCGTATTATTTTTGCAGAAAGTTAGTTCTTTTTTCACCCCTTAGCCCTTCACTTGTCGTTTTAGTTACAGTTTAAGATTCTATTGCTCTTCCATTCAGGAAAATTTGAAAATAGATATACTTTAATTGCTTAAAAAGTTGTGCATAAAGAGTATATTAATCTAATATGAGCTTATGGTGTTTATTTGCTAAATAACCAAGCTCTATCTCCTTCTTATTTATTGCTAAGTTAGTCTATCGTAGATCGTGTTCTTCCTGTCAGTTACTTTTCTGTTTAAACTTTTGCCAACCTGGACAGCATTGAGTCTGTCTCTTTATACCTTATTTTGAAAATTAACCAGCTTCAACTTTCATGCCTTTCTATTTATTAGTTTTTATATTTAGGGCCAGGCCTAGTACTTCCTACGTGTGCTATATATGTCCGAGTTACTGA